CGCAAACAAAAAGGAAAAGAAAAAAAAAAGTAAAATGGGAAGCATGTTTTGCTAACCTTTCAGTCACTGTGATTAAAAGTACTTCATAGAAATGGTGAGTAGTAAGAATCAAAGAAGTCTCTTTTGGTTGACTGTGTCTTTTTAATCACAGTGGAGAAGTTCTTGAAGAATTTGGAGACAGAGAGCAGTCCGGTCTTAATGTTGCTTTCAAGTGAGTTTGGACACTCATCTAAGCAACCGAGTCTTGATGCCTTTTCAGGCATCAGCCACGTGGGCCAATAGAGATGAAACAATTTTAGTTGAGATGGGTGCGACAATTTGAGCCAGTTAGTTTGTGCTTGAAGGGGGTTGCACTGGCCAAAGCTCAGTGCTTTGGCCTCTGTGATGTCTCGGGCACAGGTGGGTGTTGGCATACATCAGCTGAATCACAGTACCTGACACTAAGTGTAAATAAAATGCAGATGTGCATGCTGAGGAGTTACATCTTAAGTTCATTGTGCTGTAGAAGCACAACTGTGGTTACTGTGACTCAGCTCATGTGTAGTAACTTTTTAAGTGGTGATAACTGAATACCAAGTCCTAAAACTGGTTTAAACCTGGTTTATGTCTGTTTAACTTGCCTGAGTAAACATTAACCCTGGTGCACACCAATAAACTACTTAAGGACTTTTACAAGATGTTTTGTATAGCATACGGCTCTGCAGGTTGCTGAGACCAAAAGCACAAGTTTAAGTGCTACCCTAAGTGATTCATGTGCTTAAGTAAATGGAAACTTAGTATTAAATTGATGTGGGCTTTTATTTTTCAGTAGGCGGAAGGTGTTTAGAAACTGGGTGAACATTTATTACTTATGCTTGCACAAAAAGGGATGCTTAAATTTTTCTATCCATCTGTACACTTTCTGGCTTTCCAAGGAGAAGGGGGAAAGGCAAACCAATGTAAATGTATTGTGGGTAGTTTAAAATGGGCAAGGAGTTTTCCCTGCTGCTCTTCATGTAAGAACTTCTCCATCTCAGCTTAGTAGGTACAATTGGCAAGGCAGCTGCTTATCTGCTTTGGAGAATTTTTATTGTTTTTATTTGTAAAAGGGTTATCATGTTTTGTAAACATGTCTTTATTTTGGAGCTAGATGAACTCTGCGGAATGTATCCTTGCGTATCCATCTATCATCTGCAAATTCTTCTATGTGTGTGTGAAAATATGTATGTACATACACACACATACACGCATATGATCCTATAGTACCGCCTTTGTGCTTGAAAGGAGGAGGTAGTCTTGCCCATCCTTCCTCCATATCTCCTGCTTTCAGCCACACAGTCCTGCGTACTCCAATACATTTTTCAGAGCCTTTCCTAAGCCAGTTCAACTAACTGACAAAATGGCAGAGAGCTGTACCCCTGCATTTTCTCATGGAGGCATCCACAAGGTAAGTAGCAGGAACGTGTGTGCAGCCAGAGAAGTGGGACCTTTCCCTCATGGTAGCGGTGAGCAGGTAGGCTGACCCACTGGGCTTTCTGAAATCCACTCTCGGCGCTGAGCTCTCAGCTTTTACACAGCCTCAAAAATATCTGTTGGATGTGATTGCTGTGTTGTGGGTTTGAGGTTGCTCTTTGCCAGAGATCCCCTTGTCAGGAGGACAAAAGGGAACATGGCAGACCTCCTGCTGTGGGAGAGTGGAAGTGGTCAAGGCAAGAGGAAGGGCATTTCTAAAGGATGGCTTGTGGAAGGAAAGACTTCAGTGAGGCACAGGTCAGGCTGTGACACACACAGTGCGTATTTGTGTTAGCATTTGTTTGTATACATTAATAGCCCCCCAGAGGGGTGCAGTGGAAAGCTGGCGCCATTCCGAAAGAGAGCTATGGCCACTGAAATACAGGGTAATGTGCTCTTGCTTCAGGTTGGACCGTGGTGACAATAACTGTGTGAGCGATACACCCTCGATGAGTGAGTGGGATACTACTTTGCTCACACGACAGGAAGAGATGTGGCTCTGGAATACCAGCCTGAACCGTTCACTGGCAGCCTATATTTGCGTTACGTTTTTCGGCACGACCACTGCCATGTGGGACTGGCATATAGACTTGAGGTAGTTTCAAGTTTCTCTGTATGTGGGGGGTGTCTTTGTAAAGTGCCTTTTTGAACGGAATGGAGGTGGCATGCAAATGATATCTCTTATTTTCCTTTTCTTCTCTATGTGTTGTTATTCTGACAGATACATAGTACTGCCGTAACCTGGTTTTAGAGTAATCGTTCTTAATGTTTGGGTTTGCAAGTGTTGAAGTTTTTTTACTGCTATGCTGTAGGACTTTTAACTGAAATGACTTTCATGCTGGCATGAGACTAGCGTATGAAGTTTTGGCATGGCAGCAGTAATCTTCAATGTTAATCAAAATTCAGCAGTTGTCTGTAATTCCAGGAAAACAAGAAGTTTTTCTTCCTGACTTTTCTATCTTTTTTTTTTTTTTTTTTACTTGCTAAACTTTGGTTTTGCTCTTCCAGTCTAGGTCCTTGTCCCCAAAACAAAACATCATATGTATGGCAGGGATAAATGCTCTTCTGTGCAGTGCTAATGGCTACACAAGCCAGCTAATGCTTGCCCCTTTCCTAGGCAGCTGTGTGCTGTAGGTCTGTGTCTGGTTTTTTGCAGCTTTGCACTAGCTAAGGGGTTCTGCAAACCACTAAAAGTTACTTTTCTTTTTTTTTTTTTAATCGTTATCGATTTCTTTAAAGGAAAAAGGTTTGTATTTACACTCATTTGTGAACAAGCAATGTCTATGGGACTTAGCGAGTTGTGGGCATTTGTGGTGAGGTATGCCCTCGGTTGTATGATGCATTTGCTTTGGTACAACTTGGTGTTGCGTCATCTGCTCTGGAAATGGAATAACTGCCCTTCAAGGGAGCTGAAGGATGGTTTTATGGCTGAGTATAGGCAAGAGACTAGAAATTCGGTTTTAGGTCTCAGTTTGGCTACCATCTTGTGATTTCCAGTGAAGTACTTACCCTCTCCTGCCTGAACTCCCACTTGTCTCCTAAGCAGAACAGCCTTTTCCACTTCTTCAAATACTGCCAATTACCTTCTCTGTTTAGCCTGCAAATTTGGAACAGAGACAGTCTCTCATTCTGTGTCTGTCTGGAACCTGATAAGTATCATAGCTGGAATTTGTCTGAGGACTAAAAACTGTGACAAGTCTTGGAAACAGACAAACCAGACTCAAAATTGGTCCAGCTTCCTAATGCTGGCCTAACATGCTTTCTCCAGTGATACAGACTTCAGTCCAGAATTGCAAAAGTGGAAATGGAGGAGGAAAAGGGAGTTCCTAACCTACACAGTGAAGCTTTTCTTTTTTTACTTTCACTTTTTACTCATTTTTTTTCCTAAGAAAGAGGGAGAAATATTGTGTAACTTTAATGTGAACCAGATCAGCTTGTTGGAACTTCTGCCAGTGGTATTCATGTGTGTCTCTGTGTGTGCACATGCATGTTAGTAAAGGTTTTTGCTCCAAAAGTCAAATTTGTGTGATTAATGAATACTACTGAGGGGCTGAATTAAGGTAGCCTGGCTGTAAAAAATACAAATTATGTAAATATAAAAAATTAATCATTGACTTACAGTTTTTTTAATGAAGACATGCAAATATTAATACTACCATTAAAAACAACACCAAATGCCTCTCTGTAAGAAAGGAAGTACGTTGGCCAGCAGGATTTGAAGAATGAGAACTGCAGCATACGCTTGTAGCCACTCAGGTGGCTCTAACGGGTTGTTCACATCTTTGTATGTAGGTGAGGTATGTGCTACTATTTCATCAGTGGCTTGCACTCTCTACAAAGCAGACAGAATGAAACTCAAGAATTGTGGATTCTGGCTGAAGGCATGGGAAGGAGGGTGCTTTTTTTCTGCCTCCTCAACTGCTGCCTACCACATGCCTGTTTTCTTCACTTGAATTTAGTTCCTCTTTGGTCATGCTGTCCTGGTCCTGTCTCTCCCAACCTGCTTGTCTTGGGTAACTCTCTGTGCTGTCGCACCCCAAAATCATTTTTGTCACCTTTGACAATGCTACTGAAGTTTCAGCAGAGGGAAGAAGACAGCAGTCGCTGTTGTCTTGGGTCAGCAATTAGGAGAAGCAATGGCAAGGAAAATCCTGCTCAGACCTGTATCTGGTGAGCATCTGGCTCAAAGAGAGTACATAGGTGATGTGTCGCCCACTTGAGATTCTTCTAAGTATTTCAACAGAAGTTACCTAGAAGCTTCTGTTTCTCAGAAACAGATGAAAAGAAGTTCTTGACAGAAGGATGAGGTTCTTCCTGACAAATCAAGGGCCTGCTCCAAAATGCAAAGGTTCTTGCAATCATCATTTATTTAGCTGTAGGAATTTTTTAGCAATAACAGAAAAATAAATTTTTTCAGTATCTGTGTTCAGAGAAACAAGTGAGCTGTTTTAGCTGAACCATAATAGAAATAAAAATCAGGCTGAGGAAGAAATCCAGAATAGGAAGTTCCATCTCTCAGTAATTTGTTCTAGCAAATTTTTTGAGTAATGAGATACTGTGGTAGTCTAAGAGTATCCAAAGCTCTCTATGCTGTGTTCCATAACTTCCCACAGAATACCTAGTATGGAGAAGCCTTGTCTTTGTTTAAAAATCATAATGCAATGATTTTTAAATTACTGACTTCTGTAACTTCCAATAAAGAGACTGTTTTTTTAATTCTGTGCTCTATAGGTTGATGTCCTTAAGGCAACAGCTCTACCCCTACTGAAGAAGTTTGGAATTGATGGAGAAAGTCTGGAAATCAAGGTAAAACAACTTGTTCCTTTTTTTTGTAGCACATGTTGAAACGATACTTTTGCTCTGCTTCACAGGGCCATATGCTTGCTGCTGGTATCTGTCTCTAGCAGTTACGTAGTTGCAGCTGCACACATTTCTAAAATTGCCTCTTGTTCTTGGCATGTTTTAAATGGCATACCAGCCATGCAGTGATTGAAGATGTGGTGGAAGAGGGATGCAAAGGCCTTTTCTTAGTCTCCGAGATCTTTGCAAGCTGAGAAACCTTTTTGCTTTCTTGTTCCTCTTCAGTTCATTTAATTTCTTTTTCCTTCCACTTGCTCTTCCTGCTCTGTGCTTGGGGCTAAGGAGTAATAGTAGAATCTTTTGCCTCCTTCACCGGTAGAGGAGCTGGATCTGTGTTTGGGTGATTGAGGTTTGCTTCCAGTTTGGAAAATACAGGAAAGAAACTTTTCTTTAAAGACTACACTCTTCACAGGCCCAATAAATCTGGATGTAGAATAGATTTTTTAGGTTGGAGAAAGAAACTATAGCCTTTCAAAGTTAGGAACGCTCATTTAAAATTTGTGAAGGCCCTAGCTGCACAAATGTTCTTTGCTTGCTCTGCCAAGTCCCTCCAGGTGCCTCCACCCACCCTGCCCACAGCCCAGGACCCCATGTCATCCCCCTAGGACCATCAGCCCCTGCTCCAGCGACCCCACAGCAGGGCCAGTCTCCAGCTCCCCACAGCCCTGCCCTGCCTGCCTGGCCATGGGCCCCCTGAGCCAGACCCACCCACGGGCCCATGTCCCATCCCCATCCTTGGGGCGGTGGGACAGGCTCCGGGCGGCCAGGCCGGTTTGTGG